GATCCCTTCCAACTCAAACCATTTTATGACAGCAGAAGAAGGAAGGATCAGATAATTGTTCTACCAACATTCACAAACAATCCACTCTTTGTCGATTGCGAATACAACCCATCTCTGTTAAATGGTATTTGCAGATCTAAATGTTACATGCTTTTACCTTTTTGTGCTATTTCTTGTGCTTAAACTATCACCCACCATGATAAATCTCCTTCTCCATTACAGGCTGTGTTCCAACTCTCCAACAAAAACACAGCTAAGGAAACAACCGGTAGTACTGAACTTCCACTCATCAGTTCAGGACTTCCCTCCTTTCATGATCTGCTTTTCATACTCAATTTCACAGCAGAAGTCCTCCAGGATTTCTTACCTCTTCACTCCTCCTTATAGCTGTGAAAGGCTTCTTAAGTTTGTGGCTTCTTACTTTCTATGCAAAGGACAGCCTGTCTGTTACTTGCCTCCAAGCTTCCCGCCGCCTTTTTAGGATTAGGCTCACCTTAATCTGACTTTGATTTGGATTGACTTAAAAATCTTAAAATTAATGCTGTAAGTGATTTGGGATCTTCACTTCTCCTCCCGGCCCCTTCCAAAACCACATCATTCTTCACTATGACAGGTCTTCCCATCTTCTGCTTTGTTCTCCAAAGTGCCTCATAAATAGTTAACTATATATAATAACCGAAGTAAATACATTTAAATGATAAATACCTTTGAAGTGTACTGGAAGATGTCAGCAATAATCCGCATGGATGGTTCTGGGGGGAAAATGTAAGTATTTCGGACCATGAACTCCTTCAAGATGTCATTTTGGATTGTCCCTGTCAGCTTGGCCTGAGGCACTCCCTGTTCTTCTCCAGTGACAATGAACGTTGCCAACACGGGAATGACTGCCCCGTTCATTGTCATAGAAACCGACATTTTCTCTAGAGGAATTCCATCAAAAAGGATTTTGGTGTCTTCCACTGTATCAATGGCAACTCCAGCCATTCCGACGTCTCCTCGAACTCGTGGATTGTCTGAATCATAACCACGGTGGGTGGCTAAATCAAAAGCAACAGATAATCCCTGCTGGCCAGCTAAATGAAAAAGAAAAAAGAAAACAAAAAAAAAACAACAGAGAGAGAAATTCAGAAGTGTTGAACAGACTTGCATTACGACTGGATCTAAATTTATCAATTTTATTTTACATTATCTAAGCCTGGACAACAAACCAATTTTTGCTGTTCAACACTGTTCCCTCCCCAAACCTGTCCAAGGTCTTCTAGGCCTAAACTTTAAATAAAAAAGCTTTTAGATGAAAAAAAAGAAATATTGTAGTCCTTCTAGCTGAGTCACACAATCAGCTTAACAAATTACTGAATAACAGTTTAGCCACAAGTTATAAATGTGATAGACAGACAGTATCAGGGCTTATATATATAAATTCTACTTAGCTTAGCTGGAGACACAAGTGTGATAAATTAGGTCACATTACCTTCTCTTTATCACAAATTAAACACACACACACTGACTGTTACCCTGGCTCTTGTGACGTACATTGTTTATTTGTAAAGCAAAGTGATGCATTTCTAAACCTGCAGAAGGAGAAAATTACTCATATAAAGCAGGGAACGGGGCAGTTAGAGCTCTTGGCAGACTTGTTGCTGCAACCTGAAAGCAGCATCCGAAACTCTGCTACCCCCAGCATTCACCCTCCCACCAGCACTGCTGTTCCTTCTCAATGTCAGCAGAGCTCTTAACTGTCAGATGCCAGCTATTGTCTTTGAGCCAAAAAACTAGGTGTTAGTGCTAAAGTGTAATGACAAAAAATTAAATTTCTGCCTAGTTTCAAGAAATGGAAATTTCAGAAATCATGAGAACTGATAATTAATTTTTTTTCAGCATCCCTCCAATTACAGAAGATTTTAAGTATTAAAAATACTTTACAAATAGGTCAGATTCAGAAGCTATACTAAATAATTCAGTATTAATGCAACCATTAACAGAAGAAGAGAGATTAAATATTGCAACATCAAAACTCTATAAATAAAGATGAAAAATTCCTGGCAGCAAACATTGTTGAGTAACGGAGCTGTGCTACCAGCTAACCCAAATGTGAGCACTTCCACTTCAGCAGCAACATTCAGCAGTAAGACAGAATATATTCAGAATAATCTGCCTATTGAAATGTTTGTTTGCAAACCTCTAATACTCTGTATTTATCATTTCTTTATTTACTGAGAGTTTTAGAAATGAAAAGAATCAAGAATACTTGCAAGAATACAGCAGCAGCTAATATTGCTTCATATTAGCTAACCACGGTATGACAAGAGGTAAAAATCCCCAAACAACTCTTCCTCCCTTGCCCTAAACAGTGACGTTTTGAGTAGAAAGGCCTGTAAAGTGGGAAATCAAAGTTGTCACAGATTTATTACTCAGAAGCCTGTTGTTTTGACTAGTAAGGTTTAATTAGCTTCAAACAATTGCCAAAGTGTATGGCTGGGGTAAAACTAATGCTCCATTCTATCATGAACAACTTTTTAGCAGTGGTTTTACAAACACACTGACTGTTACCCTGGCTCTTGTGACAAACATTGTTTATTTGTAAAGCAAAGTGAAACACTTCTAAATGCTAAATGCTTCATTCTATCATGAATAACTTTTTAGCAGTGGTTTTACAGTGCCTATCTCAATAGTATATTATGATAACACTCTGGCTATTAGCTAAACTAATTGCTGCAAAGCACAATACTCCACAGAAATATTGGGAAAACTGCTGTCAAGTAAGGAAAATACGAATACTTTTAGGAAGCTGGCTTTACTACTACACCATGAGTGACACTATTCATATGTATTTATATGAGTTCATGTAAAACTTTTAACATGAGGAGGAAACACAAAATGTCAGAATGCCCTGAAGTGCTAAGTGTCGAAGTTGAACAGATTTTTTCCACTATAATCTCCTCTCACAATCACAAAATGAATGTAAGGTGCTCCATGATTTCTGTTGATTGGACCCTGGGGTGCAGCCAAGTTTTGCCTCTGTCAGTGTCAAGGCAGAATAACTAAAAATAGCTTTTAACGCATTCACTTTTTCACCTCAATAGCAAAATGAAGCAAAGACAGTTTCACAGAATCACGGAATGATATGGGGTTGGAAGGGACCTCTGGAGATCATCTAGTCCAACCCCCCTGCCAGAGCAGGTCCTCCCAGAGCAGGTTGCACAGGAACGTGTCCAGGCAGGTTTTGAATGTCTCCAGAGATTGTAGTCCTTCTAGCTGAGTCACACAATCAGCTTAACAAATTACTGAATAACAGTTTAGCCACAAGTTATAAATGTGATAGACAGACAGTATCAGGGCTTATATATATAAATTCTACTTAGCTTAGCTGGAGACACAAGTGTGATAAATTAGGTCACATTACCTTCTCTTTATCACAAATTAAACACACACACACTGACTGTTACCCTGGCTCTTGTGACAAACATTGTTTATTTGTAAAGCAAAGTGAAACACTTCTAAATGCTAAATGCTTCATTCTATCATGAATAACTTTTTAGCAGTGGTTTTACAGTGCCTATCTCAATAGTATATTATGATAACACTCTGGCTATTAGCTAAACTAATTGCTGCAAAGCACAATACTCCACAGAAATATTGGGAAAACTGCTGTCAAGTAAGGAAAATACGAATACTTTTAGGAAGCTTTACTACTACACCATGGGTGACACTATTCATATGTATTTATGAGTTCATGTAAAACTTTTAACATAAGGGGGAAACACAAAATGTCAGAATGCACTGAAGTGCTAAGTGATAACACTCTGGCTATTAGCTAAACTAATTGCTGCAAAGCACAATACTCCACAGAAATATTGGGAAAACTGCTGTCAAATAAGGAAAATACGAATACTTTTAGGAAGCTGGCTTTACTACTACACCATGAGTGACACTATTCATATGTATTTATATGAGTTCATGTAAAACTTTTAACATGAGGAGGAAACACAAAATGTCAGAATGCCCTGAAGTGCTAAGTGTCGAAGTTGAACAGATTTTTTCCACTATAATCTCCTCTCACAATCACAAAATGAATGTAAGGTGCTCCATGATTTCTGTTGATTGGACCCTGGGGTGCAGCCAAGTTTTGCCTCTGTCAGTGTCAAGGCAGAATAACTAAAAATAGCTTTTAACGCATTCACTTTTTCACCTCAATAGCAAAATGAAGCAAAGACAGTTTCACAGAATCACAGAATGATATGGGGTTGGAAGGGACCTCTGGAGATCATCTAGTCCAACCCCCTGCCAGAGCAGGTCCACCCAGAGCAGGTTGCACAGGAACGTGTCCAGGCAGGTTTTGAATGTCTCCAGAGAAGAAGACTCCACCACCTCTCTGGGCAGCCTCTACCAGGGCTCTGCCACCCTCATTATGTTCAAGTTTGTGCCCATTTCCTCTTGTCCTGTCCCTGGGCACCACTGAAAAAAGACTGGCCCCACCCTCCTGACACCCACCCTTTAAGTATATAAAGGCATTGATCAGATCCCCCCTCAGTCTTCTCTTCTCCACACTAAAAAGACCCAAGTCCTCAGCCTTTACTTGTAAGAGAGATGCTCCAGGCCCCCAATCATCTTTGTAGCCCTCTGCTTTACCCTCTGCAGCAGTTCCCTGTCCTTCTTGAACAATTCCTTCAGAATTGGATCGTTCAGAAATGATCCAATTTCCCAGAGCTAACGAAATACAGCACCACTGGCAAAGCTTATCAGAAATCAAAACTCATAAGACGGAATAATTACATTCACCATGTGAATGTTCCCCATTGCTTTGCAAGGCCATGTTGTTTCCCAAACCAGGTGTCTCACCTTTAATGTTGTCCTTGTAGAACTTGTTGCTCTCCTCCACTGTACTGAAGCCAGCATATTGGCGGATAGTCCACGGCCTGTAGGTGTACATGGTCGGGTAGGGTCCTCGAGTGAAAGGTTTCACCCCCGGCAGCTCCTCAGGGAGATCTTCCGTGTCCCTTTTGGAGTATAAGGGCTTGATGTCGATCCCCTCTGGTGTGTGCCAAATTAAATCCTTGGGATTCTTGCCCTTGAGCTGCTTTTCAGCAAGGGCAGCCCACTCGGGGTGCAGTGGCTGCCTGTGCAGCGACCGCCACGCGAGCCTGGGGGCTGGAAGCTGTGCCAGGCACGTGCCGTGGTGGGGCCGCAGGCGGAGGAGAGCATCCTTGGCTCTGAGCATGTCTGCCCCACGGCTGGTGAGTACGGTGTAAGCTGAAGAAAATAAAAGCACATATTTAGCATTATCAGACAAATCCGACATGGGAGAAGTGAGCATGGAAAGGTCACGCAGTTTGCTAAAGCCAAAACTAAAGAAAAAACTAAATGTTTTTATTCACTTACTCATTATTCACTGCCTCCCCTTGACCAGACAATGCATAAAATAGAGTTCAAGAAAAAGCCTACATTTTTTTCTAGTTAAGGAAAGCCTTCCTACAAGTCGTCTACATCTGCGTATGAAATGTGTAACTTATTTCAGTACCCTAAGCAGCACCATCATTAATTAGTCACTGTGAAGTCAGTGTTATGCACTGTACACCCAGCCACCTTCTTCACCTCTCTCTCTCTCATCTATGAATTATTTTATGAGGGTCCATCAACATCAGAAGAGACACTGTGAAGGGAGCAGACTGTCAGAAAACTGCTCACAGGTCATACACTTTGGAAACAGTGGCTTGGGTTGGATGAAAATCAGAGCTACGTTAACAAAGAAAGGAGCAAAAAAATCAGTATGCAAGAACACAGGGACAATACAAGTTGCAGAGCTCATCCCACCATGGATGGGATTGTGAGGGGGGATAAGTCCAGTAACTCCTGAAAACTGTAAGCTCCTCTGCTTCCATACCCTACCCCTGCACTCCTTCCCCAAGCCAACACCTTTACAGTTTGTCTTTAAGGGACTGTCACCTCCTCTCTGCCTCATCTCCTTCACCACTCCTTAGAAACACAACGCTTCCCTGACGCCTTTTATGAGAAAGCCTGCATAAAACTGGAAAGCATCTCCATCACTGTTACCACAGAATCACAGAATCGTAGTGGTTGGAAGGGACCTCAGAGATCATCGAGTCCAACTACAAAAAAAAAAAAACACCAAAAAAATCACAACTCCCACCACCTAAACACACAACAACAACAACCAAACCAAAAACCATCACCCACCCACACAACATCCCACCACAAACCAATAATCTTGGGCACTAGAGCATGCCCTGAAGAGCCATGTCTACACGTTTCTTAAATACCTCCAGGGATGGTGACTCCACCACCTCCCTGGGCAGTCCATTCCAATGCCTGACAACCCTTTCAGTAAAGAAATGTTTCCTAATATCCAACCTGAACTTCCCCTGGTGCAACTTGAAGCCATTACTCCTTGTCCTATCGTCTGTAACTCGGGAGACCGACCCCCGCCTCTCTACAGCTTCCTTTCAGGTACTTGTACAGAGCGATAAGGTCTCCCCTCAGTCTCCTCTTCACAGAATCACAGAATCTTCTAGGTTGGAAGGGACCTTAAAGATCATCTTGTCCAACCGTCAACCTAACTGACAAAAATAGACACCCACACAACAAACAAGGAGCATCATCACTAAACCATACCTCCCAGCACTACATCAACCCGTCTTTTGAACACCTCCAGGGATGGTGCCTCAACCACCTCCCTGGGCAGCCCATTCCAATGGCTGATAACCCTTTCAGTGAAAAAATTTTTCCTAATATCCAGCCTGAAC